ATCATAAATATTTTAAAAAATTTTGAAGAACAACATAATCTCAGTACAGAGTACTAAAAAAACCTACATCAAAAGTTCGTGCAATTTTACCTTTTTGCCAAGTTTTATTGACATCGATTACCGGAAAATACTTAAATATATAATAATATAATTAAATATAATACGAAACCTGATTCATCCACTAGTTTACCACCTTTAGAGGTGGAACATTTTCTTCAAATTTAAATAAATAGTACCAATACTGAGGTACCTTCTTTCCAACTAAAAAGAATCATTAAAATCGGTTCATAAATGCAGTAGTTATCGCGTAACATATATACAAAATAAAAATACAGTCGTATTGAGAATCTCCTTTTTTTTGAAGTCGATTAAAAATGGTATGATACCATATACCTTCCGTACTTAACTGCCTCCGTGGCCGAACGTTTACCATGCTGGATTGCCACGCAGAGGTCCCAGTTGCGATTCCTGAGGCGGGAGAAATAATAGGGGTTAAAGTATGAAATTGCCGATTTGTACTGAAAATGTAAATTGTTTATTTTTTAAATTTTTAACAAATTTATTTAATCAAAATAGTTGCCATTATTATCTATACATTGCTGCCATCTAATGGGAAGGTTATTAATGCCTTTGCGATAGAACTCCGACGATCTAGACTGCACAAACTGTGTGAAAGCATTTCGTACTGCCTCCTGGGAAAAAAACTTCTTGTCACGTAGATAATTGTCCAAATCACGAAAAAAATGGTAGTCCGTTGGAGCAAGGTCTGGTGAATACGGAGGATGACGAATGGTTTCTAACTGCAGTTCCTGAAGGGTCAAAATGGTTTCTCGTGCTGTGTGAGGTCTCGCGTTGTCGTGGAGCAATAATGGTGAAGATCGATTCATGAGTCGGGGCTGTTTTACTGCTAGTTTTGTCAACATGGTTCGGAGTTCGGCACAATAGACATCTGCCGTTATTGCTTGACCAGATCGGAGAAAACTATAGTGAATAACACCATGCTGAGACCACCAAACAGTTACCATTACCTTTTTATTGGTAAGTTTTGCTTTAGGACACTGTTGTGGCATTTGACCTGGGGTCAGCCATTGCATTTTTCTTTTCCGGTTATCGTAAAGAATCCACTTTTCATCACATGTTACAATTCGATCCAATATTCCTTCATTTCTGTACCGGTTCAACAAGGCAACACAAGTTTCAACACGCGTTTCTTTCTGCAGATCAGTCAAATCATGAGGCACCCATTTTTCGTATTTTTTTATTCTATTGATTTGACGCAAGTGAGTCAATATTGTGGGTAAGGTAACGTTAAACCATGCCGCTAATTCCTGGGTAGTTTGACTAGGATAGGCTTCCACTATCTCTCTTAATTCATCGTTATTCACCTGTGTGGGCGGTCTTCCTCGTGGCTCGTTCTTTAAGTCGAAATTTTCATCACGAAAGCGTTTAAACCAAAATCGCACGGTGCGTTCGTTAGTACCCTCTCCAAACGCAGCATTGATATTGCGGGCTGTTTCTGCCGCGTTAGTTCCGCGTCGGAACTCGTATTCAAAAATCACTCGAATTTTCGCAGTATCCATCTTTCTTGTCTAAATTGAATAACAAAAACAATTGAAAGTCGATATTCAAATGTTTCAAATTTAAAAAAAAAAAATCACAGAACCCATTTGAAAAAAGTTTCATTCGAAAACCTCAAACCATGAAGATTCTATGAAAATTCAAAGAACCTATTGCAATAAAACGGCAATTTCATACTTTAACCCCTAATATTTGGCTTACATGGCTTACATGGCTTATTTGTGGTTGTCTATGTGTGTGTGTCCATGGCACCCGCGACACAGGGTTACCCTAGTGCGGGGCTATGTTGAGTGTGTGAGTGCAAAAAAAAAATATACCGATGTTCTTTAAAAAATCTTTTTATTTATTTTTCTTTTTGTTATTGTTTTTATAATGCATAATACGATGTGAAATCGTTAGTATCATTTTTGTAACTACCTAGAATGAATAGTAATAATTAAATGTCTCTGTGAAATGTATTTTTTTAAATAATATTTGTTAAGTGATGGGACCAGGGCAAGCGAGGCTCTACTTTTCATAATAAAAGTTTATTGCGATTTCTAGTACTTTTACTTCAGTTGGTCCCATAGAGACCTTAATCTTCACAAAAGTAAAAATTCTTTTAATTTCCTTATTCTACTATTTTTTCAAAGTCTGTGAATGCCAATAGAAATAAAGATCCGTTTCCCTGGAGTTACACCTGTTAGAGTAATTGGCCTTACTGACCCGTCTCAAATTTCCACCCTGTTTATACTAAGTTGCAAATTACTTGGCAATCGCGCAACATAGTGCACTGTGCTTCTAGGTATAACGTATATTTTTGAATAGATACTAATATCTTCGTGAATGCAAACTTGTCTTTTCATTTTACTCCAATGGAAGCTTTTGACCTGTGATTTAAATAAATTGATGACACGAAATGGAATAAGGGACAGGGAACGAGTTAAGTGAGATAACTAACTATGATATTCCACGTTTACTCAATACGAGTTCCCCATTTATTTTGTGTTAATACTCGAAGAAATTCCCTGGTTACTTTGAACGTATTAATAATTTCTTTTAAATCAGGATACTTTTTCAGCCAACGGTCGCTATGTCAAAAGCAAAACAGAGTACAAATAGAGGCTTTTTTATTAGACCTATCTTGTGAAGTCGTTGACATGTAGCGACATTGTTAGCTCAAAACCAAGAAACATGAAATGACATATAGTTGATAGTCTGTTAATTTAAAGCTTAAATGAGGTCACGATAAATTGTAAATTTTAATACAGAGCCAGCAAGAAATGAATATTGAAGACGCTTTATTCACTAGAATAAACTTTCATATGATTTATGACGTAAATGTTACATCTTTATTAATTAATAAAACAAATGCAAATGCATGACTGTATCAATGTCAAATTGCATAAAATAACTCGGAATATAAGTATAAAAGTTAAATGTTTGTCATCGTCTACATCAGTTAGTGAACAGATCGTCTCCTATCATTATGAAGTGTTTGGTCAGTGGATTGAAAAAAATCTAGATACAAAAAGCTGTATTTGAATATAGCTCAATTTAATTTATTTTTTATCTTGTATTTGTTGCTTTTACACTCGTCACATTAACCTATATTGTTTTTCTTTGTCTCAGATTGTCCTCGTTGCCGTTCTGGCCGTGTCCTCGGCTCAATTCTTCAACCAGGGCAAGCGAGGACCCGTCCGTCCTGCACCCGTTCGCGCAGCTGCACCCGTTCACGCAGCTGCACCCAAAGTTAATGCTCCTAGAGCCTCCAGTAGTGATCAGAGTGCCAATGTTCTAAGATACGACAACGACGTCAACCCTGATGGTTCTTATAGCTATGCGTAAGTTATTATTATTCTGGATTTACCAACATACTGAGGCTAAAAATAAATACAATGTTTAATACAAGGACTATAATCCTTTTACGATACAGGAAAATGAAGTTATTTCCATCCTCTATAACATAAATTGAAATGTTTCTCAATTCTTATCCGTTTCACTGTCGGATAGACCTGAAGATTATGTTATGACAAGTAACCATTTCTTGTTACAGATTGGAGACTGACAACGGTATTTCACTCCAAGAGCAGGGTACCCCTAAAAACCTCGGCGGTAACCCTCCGGAAACTCCAGTTGTTGCAAGTGGATCCTTCGCCTTCACCTCCCCTGAAGGAGTGCCTGTTGCTGTTAGCTACATCGCTGACGAGAACGGATTCCAGCCAAATGTTAGTAACTCTTTTATTTACATTGCATAAAAGCATTCGATTGACGGTTGAATTCATCAAATCACAAGGGCTGAAAAATCACGTACTATTATGTCTTTAACAGTATGTTATTTCCAGGGTGATGTTCTGCCCGTTGCACCTCCCGTGCCCCCTCAAATCCAGAGAGCTCTTGAATGGCTCGCCAAAAACGCTCCCCCGCAGAAGAAGAAGTGAAGATCAGTCGTTGCTAAATTGTATGTCACAAGTACCTAAAACAGTCACATGTAAATACGGAACTAAAAATAATTTTAAGTATCCAACAAATTGTAAAACACTAGACGTTTAAAAATATTTTTGTTAATAAAGTATTTTTGTTGTAAAACCAAAATTTATAAAATATATTTCATTTAAATCCGTTAAAATAATTGATTAGGGGTATAAATGAAGCAGCAAAATATGACGTAAAGCATATGCTATTAAGTTGTATTTTTTTTATTATTGACCGACAATACCGTCCACTTCCAGTTAACGTATTAAGTATGTTATAAACCAATGCTTGCAATGTCAAAGAAGTGTTATCAATTTAAGCATTGGTAAGACGCACTTAAGTTCTGTGCAATTGGATAAAAGTCTGTGAGTTTGATAAAACAAATGAATCATGATGAAATGTCTATGTCAAATTTTATAGTAGTAATTCATACCTGTGGTAAAAACAGGGATGTACTTGTAAAACTATCAACATAAACTGTTTTTTTTTTAACTTCGATTGATCAATTGAGAGAGCAGATATCATTAGCGCTTTTGAGTTGTTAGGCTTTCGCGATTGCTTCACATTACAAATATGAAAGTATTCTTTTCGGAACTAAACGTTGGTTTGTTTGAGAAAACAAATAAATGTACTTACTCCATCCAGAAATGAACTTTTTTTTCGATCTAAATCAAAAGAGAAAAAGTTCCTTTCCAATTTCTATCTATTCTATCCGATCGTGTTCAGTCACTTTAACTCCTATTAGTAACAGTAGAGCTTCTTGTGAAAGAGTTCGTCCAGGAACGGTGAAAATTTGCATGAGAAGGTAGCCTTAGAACGTAATGAGGTGCAAGCCGGAACTGGTTAATTGGTTCAGTTATTTAAGAGTTTATATAAAACATATGAGTCAATGTAATTTTTTCTATTGTGCAGATATGGAACCTTGAAAACATTACAAGAGGTTTTACAGTCCATATATCTAATTCTAGTACGAAAACAGAGATGTTTGGTAAAATTTATTTTGCACTTTTTCCAATGCATCTATGAATGTGCATTAATTGTAGCTAGGGTACCAAATCACAGCTTCGAACTCCAATATGCTCCACACAAAAGATAAGTACAAAGTTTTAAAAGTAATGAATGTACGGAAAGGCTGCTAAGCACGTAGAATGAAACTGAGTAGTTTAAAGGATTTAGAAATATCGTTGTCGATATGAAAATTGAAGTGTAACTTAGAGTCGAAGATAACACCAAGGTCCCTGATTTGATTAAGTAATTTGATAATGATGCCATTTAAAATATAATTTAAAACTATGGGGTTACGAGTGAAGGTAATCAAATGACATTTGGCAGGATTGAGATGTAGCTGATTGTTAACGTAGCATGTAGAGAATTGGAGGAGATCACTTTGTAAATCTAAACAGTCACTGTTTTAATAATAATTTTAAAGACTTTGGTATCTACGGCTAAGTGTTGTGCATTTACAAAGAAATAATTCTTAAATTTTCAAAAGCATAATTGTAAAATTTTTATAAACCTTCTCCAGATGCTACAAAAGCAAATTTTCGCCTGATCATTTGCGAATATTTAAATATTCGCACGTTACGTTGTCGTCGCAACATTTTGCAGTCTCAACGTCAACGCCTAGGCGTTTTTGTATTCTTACTCGTATATCTGCTTATCATTCATTTCTGTACATTTTTAAACAGGTTCAAAGAAAAAAGTAAAATATGGTTAAATGTTATAAATACGCGCACAAACACAAGACCAATAAATATACATCTATACGATGAATATATAATATATTGGTCTATACGTATTGATATATTTTATTTAGCCTGTGGTGTCCTATTGCCCGGTAAAGTCTCTCGATTTCCACAGCTCCAAGAGTAACGGAATATTACGCCAGTCTTATACATGCATGTGAGTCCTCCCGACATCTCCATCTTGGTCTGTTTCGTCGTCACTGATCGTTCACGATATCATCATCATCATCCAATAAATGGCTATGTAGACCTATCTCTGTGGATCCTTGCGACAGTCATGTTCAGCCCAGTTCTATTTCAGCTTGGCAGCCCTTTTTCCATCAAAGGCTGTACGTGTCTTCGGCACAGAGTAGTGTACCGGAGTTTATTAATCCCTATATCTGATATGCTGCGTTCCATTGCTCTTTGGCAAACCTAGACTTATGATTTTCGGTCTGGCACCATGTTTGCGGATCGTAAGTAAGGATGGGCAGGATATTCTTGTTGACGAGTTTTCGCCTAAGTGTGATTGAAAGGATTTTGTTATTTTTTATGTTACCTAGTGACGGGATGAACAAGTCGTGCGCCTGGTGTTAAGCGACACGTCTGATCATAGCAGTTGCAGTACTACTCAGAGCTGTAAATTGCAAAGATCTGAAGAACTCTGTCCCACACGAACCACCCTGTCACCCTGACACATTAGCTGACAAGTTCCATGTGCCTGTAATTTCACCAGCGCCCTAACTCTTCAAAACCAAAAGTAATGCCCCAGTAATGCTCACATTAAAGTAAAACCACAGTATAGCTCACATTACTGCTTGACGGTAGAAATAGGTAAGGTGGCATTGCTTCCCTGGACGAACTCTTTCACAAGGAGCTCTACTTGTAGGCTTGTTATCCGGAGATATACGAAATCTCATGTGCCTGTAATTCCACCAAAGATTTCCTTTTTTGGCTTCCCTTTTTGGCTTTCCTTTGGAAAGAGCTCTTTTATGGATATTTTTTTTAGTAGCTCTTCCAGACGTTTTCAAGGCGTCGTTCAACTCCTTATCGTGCTCATTACTGGAAGAGACTACCTTGGCCCACATCAATATATTGTTTTATTACCCAACCAACCGTGACCATTTCGTACTATTGGTTATGAGTTGGGTTTTAACCTATTCATTTCTAATCCAACCCCAAGGTCCAACGTGCCAAAATACACATGTGTTTTTTTTTAAATTAAGAGTCATTCTACAAAATTCCGTGTAACGTAATTACCTAAATACCAAATATTTTAGTCGAAGTCATTGAATTCATCAATCTTCGGCAATCTTCATCAACGTCATGCCATTGAAAACATCATTATCGCAAAACTTCATACAATTCACTGATGGGCATGATTTAAATTGTTTGGAATCAACCTATACTATCAGTTAAATATAATTTCTGTAAGAGTAAAGACTAGGTCTTCACCTTTTAGCATTTGTACAACCGGCTCAGTTACACAAATCGCCTCATTACATAAGCAAATATGTTCCTTAAAAGGACATCTTATTTACTTACCATTTCCTATTTTAGTACTATTTGCTACTAGCAAAGAGGAACAATTAATATTACAAATACTAATACAGTCAATGTCATAAATTGCTGATTATTTAGAGATAGATTTTTTTTATAACATCTAGTGACGGGGCGGACAAGTCGTGCGCCCGACGGTAAGCTAAACGCCTGTCCATGACAGTTACAGTGCGACTCAGAGCATGAAATTGCAGAGATCTGAGGGGCACTACCACTGCGCCCGTCATCCTGAGACATAAGTTGACAAGTCCCATGTGCCTGTAATTTCATCAGCACCCTTACCCTTCAAAAGCGAAACACAGTAATGCTGGCGTCGCTGCTTGGCGGCAGAAACAGATAAGGTAGGTAAAGGAATACTACCCTGGACAAACTCTTTCACAAGGAGCTCTACTGCTACTAAATAAACAGAATATTTTAAATGAATGTTTTCTAAGCAAATGACCATTTTCTTTGTTACTTGTAACTAAGTTACTTGTAAGAAATTAATTCTTATAAATGACCTTTTCGATCTACATCATAAAAAATGGAATGATTTTTTTGAAATGTGGCCGGTTCGTTTCCCAGATGAGGCAAGATTTTAAAGATTTTAAATGTTTATTTTTATTTATGATACCAAATGGCTGAACGAAAAAGTCGTGCGCCTGGTGGTAAGCGACACACCTTTCCATAAAAGTTGCAGTGTCGCTTATAGCTTTAAGTCACAAACATCTTAGGGGCAAGTTGGCAAGTCCCATGTGCCTGTAATTTCACCAGCACACTTACCCTTCTAAACCGGAACGTAGTAATACTCACATTACTGCTTGGCGACAGAAACAGTTATGGTGGCAGTACTTCCCTGGACGAACTCTTTCACTAGGAGCTCTACTGCTACTAAACTAAGTAAATAATACTATGTAGTACCTATTACGTACTTTTAAAAAGTACTTTCTCTCCGTATCCCATAGCCATGAGGCGCCCAGTGTAATATGCATTTATTGTAATTGTAATTAAGGAATAAAATCTCAACCTTATTTTTTGACTTTTTATAACAATTATACCTGCTACCTATTAGTGTCTACCAAAATATAATAATTTATAATAAAGTTCAAAATCGAAATAGGTATTGACCCTGAACAAGTGACCAATTTGCATAATGCAGCGGTAGCCTTTTTTATTCACAAAAGTCTTACAAATTACTCTTGCTAATAATATATATCACATTGTTAATGCAAATTATGTATAAAGTTCAGGCAGGTACATCATTTTAATTAATTTACATATAATATCGATAGAATTAAGATTATATTATAAATTACAAGGATGTTTTCATTTACGTCACGTATTATTTGCCACTTGTATATCCTGCGGTTAGGGCAATTTTTTCAATCTGGGCCCCTGAGTATCTTTGAATGAGAGCTTTAAAGGAATTACCAAAGCACCAGCAGCAAAATTAACCACAAATAACTATCACTCGTTCATTCATTCATTCATAATATTCTTACAATAGTGTCGCAGTATATTTACGATTACGACGAAAAGTAGGGATAGTCATAACATTAATACGAGGAGTAAAAATAAACTAAATAAAATAAACAGTCGTCTTCACGAAGTCATTCTAGGGGCATTCAGATTCATTTTAGGGGCAATGTATAACTCTTCAATAATACGATTCCGGTTGATATTTAAAATTTGCCATTTACCCGTTTTAAAACTATAGTGAAACAAAAACTGAATACCAAAGGTTATTAATAAATAACATAAAGGTTATTAATAATACTGCTCCTGTATAGTTTGATGTCAAAAATATTTGGTAGTGTCTGACTTTGCTCTTGCAGATTGTTTCGATCTATGACATTTGAAATAAAAAAAAAAGAAATGAAATGTGTACAATACTACCTCTGTGGCTGAACGGTAACCATGTTGGTCTGTCATGCGGAGGTCCTGGGTTGGCATCCTGAAAATTTATCTATCTTACTCAGTGCCGTCTTTACCTATGGTGTAGGGTGTGCAGCGCACACGAGCAAATTTGGAACGGTGGTGCGTTCAGCGTCTTAGATACATCCAAACCAAGACACAATGGACGCGTAAACCTTGAACGCCCCGCTGACCGCACCACCGCAGCTAATTAGTGATTAAATTTTGATCGCGTGCTTGCTGTAAGGCGCTAAGGTATAATACAAAACCATAATGCGTCCCACTGCCAGATATGGGTCTTTTCTTTTTTCTTTTTTTTCTTTCTTTCTAAGGACAGGGGTTATCTAATGCAAGTAGGAGATTTTCGCGCGTTTCATACGTTTTCCAAAGGTTATGAACCCTCATTCACACGCGGGTTTAATCACCATGATATCCTTCATCGTTAGCGACTCGTATTGCTACTAAGTATTCACAAACGGACGTAACATGTAAGTATAGACATATCAAATTGTCAGTGACAGCAACCGTTAATTAACCGTTAGTTAACGTATAACAAATAATTTGTCTTGAAAAAAAAATGTAATTGATACTATAAATGCAGAGCAAATTACAGCCTGCTTAAATCAATCAAATCTAATCATTAAAATGATATGTATAGAATATAAACCACAAAAGGTTAAGATTGCCTGAAAGAAATGACTACTTAGTACTGAGGCTGCCTGTTATAGTTTAGTTTCAAACTGCCTCCGTGGCCGAACGGTTACCATGCCGGACTGCCACGCAGAGGTCCTGGGTTGGATTCCCAGGCCGGGAGAAGTATGTGTATGGCCGACATTTATTTCTCTCGCGAGTTTGGGTGTCATTTGTGGTTGTCTGTATGTTTGTGTCCATGGCACCCGCGACACAGTGTTTCCCTAGTGCGGGGCTATGAGTGTGTTGCGTGTAAAAAAAAAAAAATAGTTTACTCCGTGATTCTTACACTACTGTTCTGTGTTATCATTTAAATTTTTAATGTGAAATAAAGTACATTTCATTCGTTCATTCATTTACAAAATAATGAGAAATATACCTCTATAATAGTACAAACAAAAAACAAAACAGTCTGGCGACTATCGACTGTGTAATAAAGACTCGTCATAATCTTCCTAACATGAAACCATCTAGGATTAACAGACTTTGTATGAATTTTAAATATAATAAGTATTATTGAAACTAGCATTTTATAAAACGCATTTAAAACGTTATTATTAAAATATTTCGTCTCGAGTATAAACAAAATTAAATAGGCTCTATTATTAGTATGTTGTAGCTACTAATATTTATTATTTTGGGCAATGTATCCTATAGATCGCTAAAAGTCAGGCAAAAATTGTCACTTCTAAAATATATTTTTAATATCTCTATTCTATTTGTTTTTCTTAATTTTTCTTTTATATATTGTACACTTACAATATATAATTTGAATTAAATCACTGATATTTTTAATTTATTTTTTAAACATTATATTTATATTATCTTCCTATTTATTTGGCTTCTATTCTAATCATTATTATATGTTTAAATATAACTAAATGGAAAAATGACGTCAGCGAGCTGATTATCGTATCCGCGATTACCTCTAGGTTATAGCTGAAAATCAGCGGTTTGCTCTTGAGTAAACACCGACGCTGAGCTATGACCTTTTTGCACTGCTGCAGCACACGTACATAACTGGGTGTCTAGCAGTGCTGCGACTCTGCTGTTTTTGTTTATTTTTTGTTTAGTTTGTGTTTTTTTATTTTTTTTTTGCTGTTATATACGTGTGAATGTAGTAACAAATAAACGTTTTATCTATCTATCTATTTTTTAAGTTTCTGGCTTCTTTTGAAGGATTTTGCCGATGTCTAGTCAGTAATGGGAGTTACACTTTTATTTTATAATGTTTAATTAATTAAGTGCTCCTTAGTCCATTCCGGCTTCTGGAATAGTCCTATATCATTCTAGATAAGTTTTATTTATAGTGGCCCCTCCCTATCAACTTCTTGGTTTGCGGGAAGGGCACTGTGACGTACCGGGTACTAACCCCGGGTCAGCACGTTTGCACGTACTTCATCCGGTTCTCTGTAAGGTTAGTTAGTGCCTTAGGTGAGCCACCCCGGGTGCATGTACAGCACTCTCCCTATTTTCCAGATAGGTACCGGAGCTGCAAGGCATGCTCACTCTCCGACGCCGAATGAACGGCGTATCTCCAGTTCCCAGATTCCTAAGCGGCCGGAGGGACCGGAATATGTCTAGCTCATCCTCTATTAGCTCTGCGGGCTAGTGCCGGAGATGCCAAGTGGCAGTGTCCTGCGACAATGTCCGGGCATAGCCACCGACTTCAAAGGCAACTCACGTGTCCCGCGCGTCTCCTCACCTCAGGCCCTCAACTAGACCGCTACCAAGACGCGCTTGCTGCGCGCGGGACGAACGCCCTGGTCACACACCACCGGGGCAAACGAACGTGTTTGTCCCTGCAGCTAACCAACAAACCCCGGAGAGTCCATATCCAAGTCTGGGTCCGCCAGAGACGCCCATGAAGACGTCTAACTGGCGGAGGGTTTGGCCCGGACGCCCGCCGTACCCTGGTCTCGCCGTCGAGCGCGTAGTCTCTCCGGTAAACCCTATCTCTCGGGTCGGTAGATAGGTTCACGGCTTCAGGGAGAATACAAAACCACACGATATACCATTACCGTTATTTTAATATCTCATTAACCCTCCTCAGTTGGATCAAATTCCTTTTTTTATCCCGCCAATATCACGTGACGTCATACGTCAGTGCAGACACCTTTCTGTTCAACCTTCATTTAACCCGCACAAAGACAATGAGGCCGATACCATTCTCGAAGCAGTAGTAAATAGTAACATTGGATAAAAATTCTAACATCCGTTGGTTACTATTTGGAGGCGGTCACCACCCAAAGCTCTGTGGTTCAAATTCCGCAGCCTACTTTTGGCTGATGATCGACTCAACCCTTACATGACTATAACCTACATGTTTAGTTATAAATACTGGTAGTGTAAGTTCTTGCGTGCGTTCGCGCGCGCACGTGTGTGTGTGTGTGTATGCCAGGACGAGTGTCAGTGTGCTGTATGCTGAAAGCCAGAAGTCTTACTAGTTTTTTTTTATGATACTTAATGTTGTAACAGTTGCAATGCCACTGATAGCTTTAAATTACAAAGGTCTGAGGTACACTGCCTCTGCGCTCATCACCCTAAGATATAAGTTGAAAAGTCCATGTGTCTGTGCTTTCACCAGCACCCTTACCCTTCAAAACCGGATTGCAAGTAATGTAGGTAAGGCGGCAGTACTTCCCTGGACGACCTGTTTCACAAGGAGCTCTACTGTTACTAAAAATATGTGCTTATCAAGCTGTTATTTATTCTGTTACGTATTAGTTCATAGCTTTCTAAGTTGACAATTGGCAAAGGTACTCGTTAGTTTCTATAATGTTCCGGTTTGGGTCAACAAGGTCCCGTTTTCCACTGTTTTTACTATAGTGTGTACTACGTACAATTCGTTTTCTGTCCGACAGCAATTCACAGATTGAGTGGCGCTGGTCAGTTGGAAGCCAGTTGGGTTTAAAGAACATTACTTGTTCCTGGTACAGTTAAATTTGTAATCATTGTGTATCTTTATAGCTCGTCCGTACGCAGGAATAGAGTAACGAATCACAGACTGAGACAGAGCAAGATATACGTACTTGTATTAGTTCTATGTTGTTCCATACATCAGAATTTTTAAGATTTCCGGATTCTGTTAGTTACTAGCTCAATTTACGTGAAACAGGAAAGTTTCTCATAGCGCCGAGATATTTAGGGAAATGCAAGGTGTTAATTTGCGAACAAAGACAATTTAGCGTCGTCGTTCTTCCGCATCTATAAACATTTAACTGGAAATCCCTGTTTGGTTGCGTGTACATCAAGAAGCATATGCATAAAATTTATTTTGATAATGTTTAGCATGAGAATGCTACCTTTCAGTCTCGGTTCAAATAAATCTCGTTTAAATAGAGTTAAGCGACTTAAAATAAGGTTAAATTTTTATATCGACATTATGTTCTAAAAGTTGACTACTTATAATTACATCAGTACATTGCTCATTTAAGCCAAGCATTTTATCAAAATTAAACCAATTGTATATATTTGAAAGATACCTATTTCTCATGTTCACATCAAATTATTTAAATTTTATTGCAGTTCGCGCCCGTCCGAAGTGGGTGGCTCAAGTCAGTCATATAAAAAGCTTGCGCAGATAGTTCACCCGCATTCTAACTAGATCATTGTAGCTACAAACTTACAACCATGAAATTCGCCGTAAGTAAAATACAAATGTATAAAATTACAGTCTTAATCAAATGAAAAAGAGAGACCTTCTGATTACAAAACAATTAAAACGACATGATTTTTGGGCAAAGCAAATTTTGATGAAAAAATAAAATGGATATTAATAATAATCTTTTTAGATCGATTTTAATTTTTCATTTTTTTTTATTAACTCATATTACCATTTGTTGAGTCAGGTTGTCGTGTTAGCGTGTATGGTAGTTGCGTCTCAGGCGCAGTTTCGTGGCAGCAACCCCTTCAACCGGAACTCGCCGTTCAAGAGTCAACCGTATAGGCCTGCCCCTGTCGCCCCCGTTCCGTCCAGAGTATCTTACAGCGGCGATGCGCGTAATGCCCAGATCTTGAAGGCGGATAGCGACATTGGACCTGATGGCTCCTACAACTACTAGTGAGTATTAAAAATCTGTGCTATGATCTACTTGTTCGCAACGGACTACCGTTCAGTAATTTATTGTAGGTTTTTTACCGAAAAATATATTTACTAAGGGATTTTGGTTCACTCGCTGATTTTGATACTAAATAATTTTTTTCCAGCTATGAAACCGACAACGGCATTGCTGCGCAAGCGCAGGGTACCCCCCGCAACTTCGGCGGCAATCCTCCATTAGTCCCTGTAGTTGCCCAGGGGTCCTTCTCCTGGACATCTCCTGAAGGTGTCCCTGTAGCCATCACCTACGTCGCTGATGAGAATGGTTACCAGCCACAGGTGAGATATTGTGTAGGAAGTCAAAGTAACGTAAAGACGAGAAAGAAACAGGACGAGAAACAGAATTGGGTAAAGTGATTAATATTGTTTTTATTTTCTCGTTCGTTTTATATTAAAACTTGTATGTGTATGTAATAATAATAATTAATTCTCTAGGCCTTGGGAGAAGCGAGAGTCTAAAATAGATATAATAATAATAACGCACACACTCAACATAGCACTCGCACTAGGGAAACCTTGTGTCGCGGGTGCCATGGACACACACAAAGACAACCACACATTACACACAAACTCACGAGAGAAATAAATGTAGGCCATACAAATAATTCTCCCGACACAAGAATCGAAAGTGGGACATCTGCGTGGCAGTCCGGCGTGGTAGCCGTTCTGCCTCAGAGGCAGTTAAATATGTAATTTAGGATGAGACATATGGCCACATTTTAAAGTGCTGGCCCAACATGATTTGAGAAGAAAATCATTTGTAGTAGTAAGCTAAAGTCCTATAATATCTCTGAATATTTGAGGTCAAATGCGTTCCTAATTACTTATAAAAAAATAAATAAACAAATAAGTAACGGAATGAAAAATGCTTCTCACATGAATGCAATATATGAATTTTCTGACTTAATATAAAAAGAAATTCAAGTACGTTTCTATCATTTATTACCATTTACAGCAATAATATAAAGAAAAATCCTTGTGTTTATTGTGTAAGGTTTCACAATAAAAATATCGGAATCTGTTGATGAACTATTTAAGGTAGACCACATACGCGCCTGCCACGGCATCGCATTTTTATTCTATGAGTTTGAATCCGCATGTCGCTTCCCACTCGGACACAGCGGCAGCACATCAAGCTGCGGTGCGGTGCGCCTTGTAGATTCACACAAACTCATAGACATAAATATGTGACCAACGTCAGACATTTCCACTGCAGAATAAACATTTCTTTTTAATAAAAGAAATAAGTGCGCATTTGACCTCCACCTCATCTGTTGGAAAGTGACTTAAATAGTGCATATTTAAGTATGCATTAATAAGCATACTTAAATAGTGCCTAATTAATGTCACCTTAAAAACGTCCAAATTATAGTGTTCAGGGAATACGTCTGCAAGCAGATTTCACTCCGTAGCGGTTCGCCATATAAAGGTGGAAGCGTTACGCGTAGTGCTAATCCTTGCAATATCTACGACGGAGAGGCGGAACTCTAGCCTACGTTTAGTTCCCCGATCATGAAAAGGGGGAATTAAATCGTGCAATCTCTTCGCACACTCTCCGATATTTTCTGTAAAATATTGTTCGTTGTTTCCTGACAAGAAATTTTTACCTTAAGAGTATAATTTGACTATATACGTCAACTTAAGATTACAAATATATGGGTAACATTACCTGATTGATGTAAGATGGCCTAGAATCCATATTACGTAAAATACAAATAGTGTTGGTAAGGCCTTGTTATTTAGGGCAATCGATTTTTGACTATCGCATTGGCATAATGGTATCAGTTTTATAGTTGTTATGTACATTATGCGTAATATATTGAAATATATATCTGAAACACACTTGTCATATATCGTAACAAATCATATATGTATCGTATCTAAAATTTCCAATATTTAATGTTGTAAACTAAAATCTGTTATTTACAACATTTTTAAGCGTAGTAAGTAATGAAATGAATTGCGAAATTTCAAGCTGAAGAAACTGCAGTATAGTTAAGTTGCATGTGACAGCGTGGTTGCATGTACCATGTGTTTTTCTACATTTATATATTATGTGTATTCATTTGTTTAAGTATTTTGTTTTTCTTTCAGGGTGCTGCCATTCCTACCTCACCGCCCGTACCTCCCCAGATCCTCCGCGCCCTCGAGTACATCGCCAGATCCGCTCCAAGGAAATAAATCCCAACGATATCCACGAATCTCTCTTTCATAGCTAAAATGCCTCCAATACTCTTGAAACGTTATAATTTTATATTTTAAAATAGGCGCCTTGTACCAAGTAACAAGTTCTACGTAGAAAAATATATCAATATAAAAATTATTGTAAGAAAAGTGCCATTGTAAATATACGAAAATAAAAAATTTAGTAGCAATTCAAAATCTTTTATTTACAGATACTCGTGCTGCGCAATCATGTACGAAAGGTTTAGTTGCTTTAGGCAATTGTTTAATTGTACATTAAATTATTGTAACTTAATGTACAATTAAGGCTAGATATTATGTTTTTAAATGACCTTATTAACATAAACCGATTTACTTTAGAAACATCATATCGACAATATTTACGATCGACGAATATTATAACACTTAATTTGAAATGCAGACACATCAATCATATTATTGAAAACTAATTTTAGTAAAAAAATTGATTGACAAAATTTTAAACTTTGTAATAATAAAGGGTGTATTTAAATGGTCAATATACATAAATGAGTTTAAGAGTTCTCTTTTTACAACGCGAAAAAAAATTGTTGTTCAATTAATTTTGGTTAAGTTTTTAGTCCTTTCGTGGCGCCAAACTCATGACAAGCAAGGCTATTTTAAATTGACGTAAACTGTCAAAATTGCTTATTGTAACTAAGACCTTTATAATACCTATATGCATATGCTATACCTATATATAATAAATAACGCACACACTCAACATAGCCCCGCACTAGGGAAACCCTGTGTCGCGGGTGCCATGGACACACACATAGACAACCACAAATTACACCCAAACTCACGAGAGAAATAAATGTAAGCCATACAAACATTTCTCCCGGCCCGTGAATCGAACCTGGGACCTCTGCGTGGCAGTCCGACATGGTAACCGTTCGGCCACGGAGGCAGTTATATGCTAGGTATGCACCTAGTAGCAGTAGAGCTCCTTGTGAAAGAGCTCGTCCAGTACTGCCACCTTACCTATTGCTGCCGCCAAGCAGTAATAGTAGCATTACTGTGTTCCGGTTTTGAAGGGCAAGGGTGCTGGTGAAATTATAGGCACATGGCACATGTCAACTTACGTCTCAGGGTGACAGGCGAAGTGGCTGTGCCCCTCAGATCTTTGCGATTTAAAACTCTGAGTGGCACTGCACCTGTTATGGACAGGCCATCAGGCGCGCGACTTGTTCGTCCCGTCACTTGACATTATAAAAAAAATGTTTTACAAGTTTTTTTTGCTTATCGAAAAATGAGTCGAAAATCAAAGAACATGGCCGCCCCAGAAATACAGCATCAAAACCTAATTAAAATATTAATGGAATGTAAACCACAAATACATAATCTTTAATTTTTCTTGAGTGATTGTCGAAAATCATAATTTATTAGGCATTGACCTTCAAGAAGGATCGAATGTTTTCTCTAGTATTTCTACAAATAACAGACAGCAATTGCAACAAATAATATCAAAGCGATTAACGAAACATGTTATTGTTTTAGGTAGCAGAGTGGAGTGATATATGGTTTTAACGATGAATTGAAATTTACGGTTTTGGAAGATGCGACGAACAATTAAGGAATTTAATTAGTCCTACCATGGTATTTATAAGGCTTTGTATCATTACAGAATTATACATTAATAGCACAGAAATAATTATAAATGAATATACATATTAAGTAGTTTATTCCGTGTCATTTTCAGTACCTATCTAGTAACATTTTTATGACGTTAAATAATATACATGTAAAGAACAGATTATAAAATACTACACTAGTACATACAGTTTTGTGTAATTACTGGTTTGCGATTAGGCACTGTTTTATATATTTTATATGTCAAATATGTTTCTTTAAATAATTTATATGAATTGACAGATTTCTTTTCAGTGTAGACTGTTATTTATAGAGAAATTTACATAATGTATTGTTTTTAATTGACGTGCATCCGAGATCAATATTTAAAAAAAGTTTATATTCAAGGTTTTTCACATATTAACAATCAATAAATACAATTATGTATAATAATTTGCAATATATGATACGGATTAGTTTAAACGACGAAAGATGTTGTTAATACGACTCTTAAATGTCCTCATTAACATTTAATATATTTATAACTGCTGTTACTAAACACATGTTCGTTTGCAAAAACAAATATAGAATACAAAATATATGTTTACAAAATTTTAAGGAACATTTCCATGAACAATAGATCTGTCGTAACAGCAACTCACTATTGGGTCGACATGATTTGAAAACTACTTTATGAGGTTTATGAAATTCAAATAAGGTTTAAAAGTCATTTCGGTGTTAATTGTGTTATAAATCGATAAGAGCCGAACCGCATAGAGTTTGCAGGTTTCGTCCTTGATTTTTATAGATCATGCTTGGTTCATTGATTAGGTAAACCTGTGGTCACATTCATACATTTTATAAAAAAGTATTTGTTAAAGCACCTTATTATCGGTGTCACAGAGGCAAAAGTTTTCTCGCATCCTTCCATTTCTGTACATTGTGTTTTTAAAATTTATGACAACAATGTTTAAAATTTTAAGGGAAGTGTGTCTTTAAAATTTGAGATTACTTTTTGTTTTTAAACACAACAACAGTGATTAGTTTACTTGACAGAATCCTCAAGAAATATGATGCATAGTATGTTTCATAGTAAAGCCATTACAATTATTACTAAAAAAATCTAAACTAGAATTTCTCTACCAATAATTAACAGCGAAAACCTACTAATTAACTAACCAGTTAACAACTAATGAACGCACAGTAAATGTCCTTGCCAATAAAAAATGTGTCACTCTGATAAAAAATTTATTCCTAAATCTTATTACAAAAAAATTTAAAAAGATGACCGATTGACTAAAACAACCACCTCATGGTTTTTTCAAATTAGTCAGTTTTCTGGTAAGTGTATAGGTGTTTGGCTGAATGAATTAACTTTCATCAGTTCTCATTGACGGCGTCTCTACTCGGCTGTGACATTAGCTGAGTCCTCCTCCCTGACCCTGAGATCCTTTTACATACGCCACAGGCGCACACATGACATTTATTTGAATTGAGTTGACTGTTTTAAAATTGGAATAATCCAACGAAGTGAACATAACTTTGCTTCGTTGTTTTTTTGTTGTTTTATTTTTTGTTTCACTTTTGCCTTTCGCAAACATTTTTTCCGAATATTTTATATGGAGGTTCATAATGATTGAAGATGAGATGGATATTCGTGAGAAACCACGTTGTGGCAACAGACACTGGTTCGAATCCAGTAGGAACGAAGGAATTTTTCTTGGTGATTGTCCGACCTTTGTATCAATCATAATGACAGACAAGTGGGATTTTTCAAAAAGTATATAAGAACATCGTGGTAGTAAAAACATCATGGTATTCAATAATAATAGATATTGCAATTATAAAAGGACTTACAAAGGATGAAGTATATATACTACATGTATCAGGATTTTCATTAATTCTGGAGTACACTACTTTAAAACCTTTTACTACATTTGAATAGAGCCGTAGTAGCCTAGTGATCAAATTACTACCTACCGCCTTTCAAGGCCGTGGATTATATGTAATTAATGTGCGAAATTCGATTTGAAATTTACCATGTTTTTCGGTGAAAGAAAGACATCTTAGAAGGTTCACAACCCACAACCCCAGGAAAACGTGTGAAGTTCCCAACCTGTATTGAGTTGGCGTGGCGGCCTGTGCCTGAGAGGATCCGTGCCCAGCTGCGGGACGTATAAATGGATTGATGATGATGATAAACAGACTTGAAATATCACGTTAAACCTGGGATAAATTAACCATTTAAAGAATGTAAACGAACAAAAGACACCTTGTGGCAGCAGCTTAATATGGTTTTAATCCCACGTGTTAAGCCATCCGCCACTGATTGCGCAATCGCACAGAAATTTTATTTAAAAAACAACAACGTTTAGGAAGATTAATCTCTCAGTTGACCTTATGGTTTTGTTTAACAAAATTAGCTCCATAAAATAACGACGTTTTACTAAAATAGCATTTAATTAATTATAATTATTCATTGGATTCAATTGAGTCAAGATAGTTACAGGCTATTTTTAGAAACCATACTTTAAATTCAATGCTAAGGACTTCAGTTACGAAGAAAAACAGGTAAAAAGAAAATTTTATTACAAGCAAGGGCACCAATGGTAGCATTTACTCAATGGCGCTATGCCATATCACTTAGGTCAAGAAGCAGCCGATGCCAAACTTTCAGGAATGTTTGTTTTTTATTAGATTTAAAATATATGCGGCTGCATTATAATGTATCATTAAAATATCATTAACTGTAGTGTAACAATCAAGCTTATTTTATTTGTTATGAAAAACGGGTGCGCCTCATTTGTATGAAATCAATATAATATAAACTAACTTTAATAGATGTCGTTATATAGTTCCTATAAAAATAAATTAATATAATTCTCTTTGCTAATATTCACATTTTATAAGAACATTTTATATAAAACTCTTGTCATATACCTGTCACTTTATATATTGCTAAGCTTTTGTCATATACCAATCACGTTATATAACTATAGCCAATCCAGATAATTTTTGCGTGGTACCAATGATATCTATATACTACTGGCTAGAACCGAATTTGCCTGAGTTCCCGACATGATAGTTTATTTAGTTATGTAAAATTATGACTGTTATTTGAAATAAAAATGTTAGGGTTAATGACTGTTATCAAAAATGAAATTATAGAATGTAAGCTTAGCATTGTTGGCTTGTTGGAATAAACCGACGACTTAACGCAAACCCATAAAAAACAATCCGACGGCTTTAGATCCCATGAGCGAAGTGGTCATTCGATCGGACCATTTCGCGAGATTACACGATTATCGAACTTCTTATTCAATAGAGCGATTGTTTGAATTATTATATGAAAAAAGTTTATATTAATTAGGCGTTAGGTTAAAAATATTTATAAGATACATTATACACCCATGAAAAACCATGAATTTAGACGCTACTTGTACTTGGTATAATAAAGGCATATGTGAAATAGTATAACTCTCCCATTTAAGCATCAAAAAGTTATCAACTAATTTAAGAAATATTACTAATTTACTGAGTTTGCAACTGCCTCCGTGGCCGAACGGTTAACATGCTGGTCCGCCACGCAGTGGT